TATTATGCATGCATGGATCATGGTACATAGACTCTAAACTCTCTCGTGGTAATACATTTTGGAAGTTAAGAGCTGGAATCTACGAATGTGAAAAGTTTCCCAGGCCGGGAATCGAACCCGGGTCGACCTTCTGCTCTACGCAGACGCCTTACAACCGAACCATTGATGTAGCTCAGTTGGGAATTAGGCTTAAGTTAACGGGCGGAGAACACGAATATAGCCTACTTACGCTAGACCTAAAAGGCTTAGGCTAGATGAAGCCTTTTGACTGGAAAGCAATCACTGTAAAGCTATTTTAGATGATAAGAAGTACACTTAGGACTGAGCCATTTTCATTTTCTGCGGGCCTGTAAAAGAAATAATGGCTCATTTAGGGTTTGTTGTTTATTAATCCATATTTTTGTATTTTTTGCAGTGTGGTATACTATACTTCATCTATTGGAATTCAGATAATGAATCCTTCGAATTGCTCTGTCTTTGACAAAATTGAAACCAACATTAGAGGATATTTAACAGTGTCCCAGACTGGTTTGTACACCACAATCAATGTTATACATTTTTTTAACAGAAGTGTACTGTGTAAATAATAATAATTTAAGGAAATTATAGATTTATTTTTAAATTCTTTTACGTATGTAATATGTATATTGAATTACCTGATTCAGTAGTAGTAGTAGTAGTAGTAGCAGCAGCAGCAGCAGCAGCAGCAGTAGTAGTAGTAGTAGTAGTAGTAGTAGTAGTAGCAATAGTAGTAGTAGTATATTAACAGGAACAACATGCTTACAATAAAAAACAATAATGTAGTAAAGAGAAATACACGCTTGATTTATACCTTAGTAGGTCTACAGACAATAGCAAATACTTAAAAAGAAATTTCTTGATGATGACATAATTAATGTCGAAATATTGAATCCCAACACGATGGCGTGCATTTCAATACTTGGAGTATGTATTATACTTTCTTTTCTTGATTTTGTTTTGGTAATCAAATGATTTATAGTAAACACATACATTTGTGACAGTCTGCATTGCATCAGCTTTACCACATTTCTTATATCGGACATAATAACTACAGTAATAATAGTAATAATAGAAATGATAAAAATAGCATGGAGCATTTAAACACAAGCTCCACGCAATGTTAATTGTCCCGTTTTTGGTGACACGTTTAAAAGCTAAACGTGTTTAGGTCCGGCCTAATGTGTTTATGTTTCTGACCTGTTTAGATTAGATGTGCTTAGGTATTTGACATTATGATGTCAAATACTTAAGCACATTTAATGCTAAACACGTCAAGATCCTAAATACATTAGGATCTTGACGTGCTTAGCATTAAATGTGCTTAACACGTCAAGATCCTAAATACATTAGGCTATGTCTAAACACGTTTAGCTTAGTAATAATAATAATTTAAACAGACTCGCAGTGAGGAGTCACGATCCCCTTAAAGCATTATTATTATTATTTCAAATAAAATTATTATTACTATTATTATTAGTATTATTATTATTAGTTGTAGTAGTAGTGGCAGCAGCAGTAGCAGTAGATGATGATGATGATGATGCAATAATTAGGGGCGGATCCAGGTATGTCCGAAAAGGGGGGGGGGGTGTGGTGCTAAAAAGAGGCTGAAAGTGGAGCCAACCGAGAAAACATTACCCTAGTGGTCGGCATACCCACGCGAATGTTTTTATGTTTAATTCCTTCGTATTTTTGCAGATAATATTGTATACATGTGTAACGGGGAACGGGTATATCGTAATCAAATGCTGATGGATATGCAATTAGATTTTCCGTGTCAAAATCTAGTTCGTTACATCGACTACTTGATCATAGCACTAAAAACCGAAGAAAATTCCATCATTCGATTGTACTTGGACATGGAGCACACTTATGAGACAAACACAACCCGAGAGCTTCGTTCTTTCTTCGTTTCGAAAAGTAAAAACAACAAATTATTTCAATATCTTATTATCATTACTATCATCATCATCATCATCATCATCATCATCATCATTATTATTACTATTATTTGGTTTATTAAGTAAGTAATTTTGGTTTTATGTAAAATGAATTTCAAATAAAATTATTATTATTATTATTAAGCATTATTATCATTGTTATTATTATTATTATTATTATTATTATATGTATATACATATATATATATATATATATATATATATATATAATATTTATATACATATGTATGTGTGTATGTATGTATGTATATTTAAACTCAATTATAGTAAGATTATACATAATATAATAACGATGTTTCTCAATTCTCAATTAGAAAAGAAATTTCTAGGAAACTCTGACTCAAATACTCCTAAGATTACTATGTTCCCGTCACCCATTGAAGCACAGGTTGTTAGTACTATAATTACAAATTAACACGATCACCCATGTATGCGCTTTGAGGTTCTTGGTTGTGATTGTAAATAATTGTGTTCCATATTTTTATATCCCTCCTTACCCGGGTGAGAGCGTTACACGAATTTTTGAATTTCAAGTGGATTTTACAATAGTTCTTAAGGCTAATTTGTAAAATTATTATGTACTGTATACAGATGTTGCAGAATGTGCTGACCAATTAGGTATGGAATCTGGAGAAATATCCCACAAACAATTAACTACATCTGACACGCTAATCAACATAAACCAATTGGACGATGAGAAAATGCGCCTAAATTCGGATAGTGGTTTTTGTTTTGAAGCCATCGAATCTCAAATTGCTGACCAGAAACATTGGATTCAAGTCAATCTTAGGCCTAATACACTGATGAGAGTAAGCGGAATTATTACACAAGGACATTTCAATACTACGGGATGGGTAACAAAATACAGTGTCTCGTACATGTACAATAAGTCCTGGATACCCATTGGAAATGGTGAAGTTCAGGTTAGTTCGTAAGCATTAAGCCTCTAATAATGCCATCTATAAATGCCATCTAAAATTCGTTTATGTTTTTTTAACGCAGATATCAAGTTCAAGTTCAAGTTTATTTAAAATCATATTCGCAACTTCCAAAAGAGGTTGAATTGCATTGATTTGTACAGTACATTAAAATACATTAGAATATAAATATAAATATATATAAAATTGCATACAAATTGAAAGAGAATATTACAATATTCAAAAGTTACAATTTCATATTACGTACCTTGTGGCCGAAATACATTTTATTGTTTTTCAGAACTTCAATGGGAACTATGATTCTAAGGCTCCAGTTACTAATTTGTTTTTAAATTCTGTTAACGCTCAATCAATTCGTATTTACATTGTAGACTGGAAAAGACAACCATGTATACGATTTGATGTTCTTGGATGCAATGGTGAATAATAAATATATTTTTCCTTTTCTTTTCCTTCTTACTTTAATCTTCCCTTCGTTTTTTCCCTGTGTTCTGAGTCTTACCAATAGAACATTTTTTATGCTGAAACAAGGGCGCAGATCTGTTTTGGAAGGTGGGAGGGGGGGTTCTTTTCTCGAGACCACACCCACATTAGCCCCAACCACGGTGGGGCTGAGGTGAAAAATTTGAGGAAAAAGTAATTTCTAGATGACTGGAAATGATACTCTTATATAGTAAAATTCGTCATCATCACATCACCCTTATAGGATTAGATTGGATTTATTCGATGTATTTGATTGGGCAGTATACCGGGAGACAATCCTCTACTCTTTTCCGAAGAGTGTACTGCGTTCTTTAACGTTCACATGGGCCATCAATGCACAAGGGACCAACGGCTTAAACGTCTCATCCGAAAGACGGTGCGCTATTAAAACTTGTATTTCAGCCCTCCAACTGAAATACAAGGAGAGGCAGCGATGGGAATTGGACCGTTGACTTATAGATCTCCACGATTCAGCGCACACACAGTGGCTACCACCAGATTAGCCGACTGAGCTAAGCTGCTCTCTCGTATAGTCAAAACGAAGCACCAACAAATTTCTCATGATCAATTATCAGTAATTTTCGGCAACCATAGAGATTTAATTAATAATATGTGTGATGTACCATAGTAAATTAACTTTGAAACATTGTCTTTGATGTATTTACTTTACTTTACCTACCGGTACTTCAAACCGTGAGTTCAGATCCACCTCAGCCCCACCATGGTTGGGGCTGATGTGTAGAAATTTGAGAAAATAGTATCTTTAGATGGCCGGAAATGACAATCTTATATAGTAAAATTAATCATCATCACATCACCATTCTAGTCAAAATGAAGTGCCAACAAATTCATCATGATCTTTTATCTAACATTTTCGGCAGTCATAAGATCTAAATAGTGTATGATGTACCATAGAAAATATAACTTTAAAACATTGTCTTTAATGTATTACTTTACTTTACCTACTTAACCCCCGCGTCCACACCCATCTCAGCCCCACCAAGGTTCGGGCTGAGGCGCGAAAATGTGGGTAACTTTTACCTCTAGATGGTCGGAAATGACACTCTTATATAGAAAAATTTAACATCATCATATCACCATTATAGTCAAAATAGAAAGCGCCAACAAATTTCTCATGATATTTGATCATTTTTGGCAATCATTGAGATTTAAATAATCTGTATGATGTAACATTGACCAAAAAACTTTAAAACATTGTCTTGGATGCATATACTTTACTTTACCTACTTAAAGCCGTGTGTCCACACTCGTCTCAGCCCCACCATGGTTGGGACCGAGGCCCGAAAATTTGGATAAATAGTACGCGCTAACTGGCCGGAAATGACACTTTTAGTAACATTCATCTCATCACATCGCCATCAAAATGAAGTCAACAAATTTCTCATGATCTTCCAATAGGAATTTTCGGCAATCACAGAGATTTAATTTTTCCCTGTGATGCACCATAGAAAATAAAACTTCATTGTCTTTGATGTATTTACTTTACTTTACCTACTCCATGTGCCGGAAGCCAGTCTTATCTTTACACGCTTTCTTTTTCGCATACTTCTCAAATTATAATAAAGGCACTTATTTTTATATTTGTGGGCAAAGATACCGGTATCTTGCTATAAGAAGATGTATTCCGATTGTACAGGGCTATTTCGTTAAAACCTGGGTCATTTTATGCAGTTCATTTCAACAATTTTCACGCATCTTTTTTGACATAAAATCACATTGCCGCCGGAAAGTGGGGGACCAACCCACCCTTAAAAATATATGTGTGGAACGTGTCCCCCCACCCCCACGTTCCACCACGTTTTTTCTTCAATTATTCAATGCACTCATCGGCATGATGAGGTACCTTAGAATCAGCAATGTTTACATCTGTTCATAATGTTATCCTTCTGCCCCAGCCCTAAGAAGACCTAAAGCGATAGAAACTTCAAAATTGCTGTCCCTAGACTGTAGAATGGCCTGTCGTCTGAAACGACTCAGTACGTATATAATCTTGGCAAAATTTAGTTCATTTAAGCATAAGATTAATACGTTATATTGATTTATTTCTGCAATTTATCATTTTTGTCATTATGTATACATTTTTTATTGTATTTATGTGCACGGCCCCAGGGAACAATAATCCAATGTTGGCCCAGGCCTCCGTGGTTGAATAAAATTGAACTTTACTGAATTAAACTACAGTATATTCCAATCGTTGGAGGTATTGAAAATAATATAGGCCTAATATTAAGCATTCTTTCACCTAATCTATATTTCTTTTTTTTGCCACGTCTCTTACACGTACCATTTTTATCTAATATTATCAATTATCTTTGTTTACACTTATTTTCTTCTCTGACATCAACAAAATATTTTTGTCTATGTTTATTTCAAAATCTTACGAACGTGCCAGTATACAAAACACAGATTGGGCCACAACAGTAAATCAGTAATACATAAAACTACATAAATACAAATATTCTGGGTCAGTTTAGGCCTATTGCTAAATTCCATACAACAAAATGTAACGAATGGCAAGTGACATTTTGATATGTAATAACTGACAGTTGTTTATTGTCAATAATCTTTTGGCATATTGTATTTAAGAATGTATTGAATGTATATCCAACTTTTTCTTCATTAGTAATAATGTATTTTATAATTCGTCAGACACTTCTACAAGTACTGGAACTGGTATAAATACTACAGATGAAGACGTGAGTACTTTCGCGACACCAACCTCATTTGTAACTGTTACACAAACTGAGAGTGTCCTCACAGACATTTCAGAAAGTGGTACAAATGAAGAGACTAATGCAAGTGGTGATATTGAGGATGCGAGCAGTTTCGCAACATCAACATTAATGCCAAGTAGGTCTACTTTCTATTTCTCCACCATATACGAAAGTTTCACAACGCAAAGAATAACCGATGAAGGTAATACTAGCATGTCCGGGAATGTCCTGGTAAGTTCCGGCACTGCTCCCAGCATAACTCACCATGAAACTAACACTGCATTCAAACAGGAATCACCAACTAGAGCAGGAACCACCAAAGCAGCAACCGTACCTCCTGATGTCTGTAGCTCTCACCAATTTACAGAAAATATGTTGTACAGTGAGCATGGCGCAACGTTCCACTGCAAGATTGTAAGTCATTATTTTTAGTAGTACATTCAACCCAGCAGACACAAAACGTTCTTTTAACTTATGCTAACGTTGTGGTTAGGTATGTTACAGAACATTCCAGGAACGTTCAAACGTTATGTAGTGAAAATACGTTTTAAATTTTCAACACCAAGCTGTACTATTATTATGGCGTTCTTATAACATGATATTGTTAGTTGGGAATCGTTTAATTCACAAGTGGGTGAAGTGCGGCCCGACAGTGAATCTTTTTTGAGGCCCACGAAAATGAAACAGCTATGGCTAGAAAACACTTTGTTTTTTACGGCCTGACACTGATCATCTATAAAAAGTAATATTAAAACTGAGAATAAAGTGGTATAAAAGCATTGCATGAAGATTTTTGGAAACACAGTGGAAACATTTAAGTTTAGGCGCGGCCCTCGATGAAATCGAATATTCAGTTTTGCCCTCCGACCGATTTTATGCCCACCCCTGGTTTAATTGATGAATCTCTCACGCAAGTAATCAATTAATCAATCAATCAATCAACCAATCACCTAACCAATCAACAATAAATTAATCAATCAACCAAATAAATAAATGAATGAATGAATGAATAAATAAATAAATATAAACGAACGAACGAACGAACGAACGAACAAGCAAGCAAACAAATAAATCAATCAATCAATCAATCAAGCCATAAATTATTTAACCAATCAAACAACCAAACAATCAATGAAGCATGAAAGCCATAAATCAACTAAAAAGACATTAAACAATTATTTATCTGACAGCTTATGAATCAAGCATTATCTGTCCTAACCCTTTTTTGTAGCGTTCCTTTACTCACTATTATTATCACTTAATTTTATTATAAGTAATTGAATATTTTTTATAAATATATTTAGACGGATGAGGTGGTAGCAGAGTCGGCAGCATTTATTGATATTGCAATGCTTGACCAATTGGATACGGTTACTGACGATTTTATTTCATTTTCTGGACAGGGCATTCGTTGAGTATATCATTATATTATTACCATTGCAAATAATATTATTATCATAACGGTTTCATTTTTAATTATTGTATTGTTGCTGATGTTGTATTCCCGAGTTGCTGCTTATTTTAACTTTTAATATTTTATTGTAATTTTGTGCTTTTTGCTATGTCTGTTTAAATATTTAATTAATTCTATTAGGCTTACTGTTCTTAATATTTTGTAAATTCATTCGAATCTAAACACGTGGCATGCACTTGTCCTGAAATCTAATATACTTGATAATGACTCGATAATACTACTGTACTACATACATTTATTGTATATTAACTCACACAACACATGCTCCAAAGATTGTCCATAGCGAATATATATCACTCTCCTACTTGTAGGCGACAATCCCTTTTAACAAGTCAATACACACACGATGCTTTATACAAACAAAATCTCGATATGAGGTTTTGCGGAGAGGAGTTGTTTTAGTTGCAAAAACAAATCTTACAACACTGACAGGAATTGAACCCAGGACAGTGGGATTGGAAGGCAAGCATTAACCACCAAGCTATTCAACTCAATTCAACTGCATCTAATAAACTTTTAAGAAGGCGTTAGAAATGGTGTTTATTCGTATTTTGTAGATGGAGTTGCTACACACATTCCTGAAGACAACAGCAAAGTACTTCTACCGATGGATAGTGATGAGATATCTGTTTCATTTTCCAGGGAAATCCTACAATCATCGGGTACTTTTACGTTATTTTGTTTATCTTACATATTTGACGGGAGTGTTTCTCGCTGTTTCATTGTATGGCATATAAATATAATGAATAAAAAAGATAACCCTTACCTAGAAGTGGCTTTAGGTACTTTGGGCGAATTGAAATTCCACGTTAAACACATAAGCCTATCAGTTTGGTAACCAATATTAAAAACTCTGGTAAAGCATAGATAGAGAGAATAAAGTAAAGTCAACTTATCTGTGCCCGAAGGCTTTTGTTCAATAAATAGGCCTCCGGCCCTTTTAAAATAATAAAACATAAATACAAATTAAGTGAGTGTTTCTAAATATATATTCATAACAGCGCCACCAAGTGCCTTCACGTAAAGTAACGTTTCCGAAAGTGGTTCAGGGGACGAAGCCCCAACCATTTTTATAATTTAGGGGTTTCAAAGGCTTATTTAATCGATTTTATAGTCAACAGTTGTAGAAAATACATATAATTTTTTTTCTCCCTGGCGAATTGTTGTTTTTCTCCCCGACGGGGAGGGGGCACAACGCCCCCGCTGGCGCCACCCCTGATGACAGCAACAACAACTACGACGAAGATGATGATGATGATAATTTGATAATGTCGACATGATGACGATAATTTTAACGGCAATAACAACAACGATAACGAGGATGATGATAATGTCAGTAACGGTGATGATGATGATGAAGACGACGATGATGATGACGATAACGGAAAACGCTAAATATTTTTAGGTACCATTTCCTTGTTTAAAATACATATTCTCCTAATGGTGTTATGATGTACGGTATTCTATTTTACAGTTAATTTATCTTTTTTGAAAGTATTGTCATTTTTACTTTGTTAACTACAGGGAATGCGACAGCCGTGATATCGTATGTAGAGATTGACGATTTTGAAAAGAACCAAGTCATATTACAAAGGTTTAAATTGGAACACATAGGTCTAAATGTCATGTTTAAATCTAGCTAAAGTCGGGCACTTACTGCGAACGACGGTCGTCGGCCGACGAGATTCCATGGAGAATGCAACACCCCGCGGCGCACTCGCAAGGGATAGATTGTAATGATAATCCGTTCAGACTGCCAAGGACAATTAGCAGACGATGTCGTCACGTCGTCTAACGCTTACGGGGAGCGAAGGTGGATTCGTCGGCCGACGGTCGTACGACGTAGTGGGTGCCCGGCCTCAGTCTATACTTCCTATTTCAATATCAAATTCAAACTATAACTATTTAACATGTAACATGATATTTATTTATTATTTCATTGTTTGTAATTGAGTGTTCCTTTATTTATAGGCTATGTTTCCTTTTAAGTTAATGTAATTAAACTAATCCTTTTACTATTAAAATATCTTGAATAAAGTATCTAATTAAGTTAAATGAAGTTAATGTTTATCATTTTTATAGTCCAGATGAGAGTTTGTTTGGTGGAGATTACGTCATAATAGGTGTGATTTCAATCGCTGTATATAATTCTCTAAGAGTTGAAATTGTTGGCCCTGTTAACTTCAGCGTACCTAAAACTGTTGTAAGTAGGCCTACATACACTTTAAAAACTAGCAATATGTCAAATATAATATATGTGGCGCTACTTCCAAATTAGAACAAATGTGCTAACACACGAATAGCAGTGGAAAGGGCCTCGAAATTGTAAAGTTCTACATACAATTAGGCCTAGAACAAGAGTACAAAAATTATGGTACAGGCACATTAATCGTATATTTGAATAATAAAAGTATATCGTTTGTTTGTACTAGTTAATGAACGGATCCGTTACGTCAGAGAAGATTATTAATGAAGTCTGTGCGTTTTTTGTACTGGAGCAAAGGTAGGCCCATTTTTAGTCTCCAAAAATAAAGTTACTTCTTGCAACACGACATAACGCATAATAAACCAAAACGTGTAGACAAAAACCTCATATTGATATTTAGTTTGTTTAAAACATCGTGTGTATATATGTATGCATTTATTGACAAACGTTGGTGCATGTGTTGTGTGCCTTTAAAAAAATAAATAAAAACTGTAGACACTGTACGTAAACATGAGTGTTTTGGGACATGCACGCATTCCTAGCTATCAAATAATACGTTTTAATTGGTTGGTAAATTTGATTGACCATCCTGGAAGTTATTCATAAATTTTACACTTACATAGCGTTGCAATCCAATGTTCTTTTTTTTATTTGGATTGATATTTCAGTTGATTTACTATCACTACACAATGCAATTATATATAATAGCATTATGTTTAACCCAGGCTCTGGAGGGAAAAAAAGTATGTGTTGTACAACTGATTTTTATAAGAAACGAAAAGCATATTTGACTAAAAACTCGGGAGCTGTTAATGAGATACAGATTTTTGAATATTTAAAAACTGGGGGGGAAATACGGTAGGTCGAAAGGGTGGTTACGCCCACTTTCCCTCAGTTTTTAAATATTCGAAATTCTGTATCTCATTTACCGCTTTCGAGTTTTTCGTCATTATATACTTTTTGTGTCTTTAAAAAATCAGTACAACATATCAATTTTTTTCCTCCAGAGCCTGGCTTTGATGCATAACACATAACACGAATGAAAGTAGAATGCAATTTCATAACTGACAACAAAATGTACATATTTTTTTCTAAGCCACTGGTCTGCTGATGGATGTATCACTGACACTACTGCTAACGCTACCCACTGTAGCTGCAACCACCTGACAAGTTTTGCTATTTTAATGCAGGTTTCATCAAATTCGGTAGGAAATAAATAATACCAAAGATACTAGAAACACACAAGATAGAGCACTCGCATAGCAAAAATGAGGCGGAAGTTGGTCCAGAGGCGGCGCCCTTCTCTTTTTATAATGCAAGTTTTCTATATTTGGTCCAGGCGTATAGGGTGCTCTTTCGTTGCTAGGTATATCCAGACGCTCACGCCGCCCTTCTTTTTCCACTAATGGAGGAAAACTTTATCACTAATCAGAATACTATTCTGCGCTTTTGTGTATGTCATTTTATTGTCTTGATTTATTTATGCCTACTTATTTGTATCTTATGGATAATGGCAACGATTTCAACCTCTGCAAAAGGAGATTATGTATTCATAGTTATGTAAAGGTGGCAAAAGTTTTTTAATCCAGCCGTACGCGGCGCCCCATTGTTTGTATTCCCACCATGCATTTCGGTGGAACACTTTTTTTTCTGTGGAGAACTCTATGTTTCTAGTATCTTTGATAATACTTATATAAATGTATTGTTTGATGGTTTGTACGGCGAAGTATTAGCATATTAAATGGTTGCGGTACACCATGTAGATATTTCTGGAAAGAACTGTTGTTTTGTTGAGAATGTCTCGACGTTTCGATTGAGTTGCTTCAATCGTCTTCAGGGGAATGTCAGATTTTCAGAACTATCTATACGTTGTGTACCGAAAGAACGACACGGTAACAGTCAAACTACTTTGAACAAAGTATCTGAATAATCTCAAAAAGTCCTGTTAGTATCTCCTATTTATAAGTGTCTTAACAGAGACTCTGTCTAGTATTTCCAAACGTTTATGAAATCATGGGGGATGAAAAGCGTGTCATATTATTCTCTATCAACATGAGCGAATTGACAAATGGTACTGTTTCTGTTATCAACATTTATTTAATTTAACTATGAAACCTAATGCCCAATTTTGTTAGAGAGTTTGCATATAGAGAGAGCACTCTCAGATTATTATTTTTTTTAATTTAGGCAACAACAAGGGTCTTCAGCTATCTATTTCAAGACCCGCCCGCTATTATCTTATTGTGAAATAAGTAGTTGTCATTTATCTATTAGATTGGGAAAACACATGCTAATATTACGGATATCATCACAAAGATTGGTCTGTCGCTTTCACTGATTTCTTTGGTTGTAACGCTCACTGCCTACATAGTTTTACCGTAAGTTAAGTTTTAAAAAAATGTTATTAAATCACTTCCTATATTTCCTCTACTTGTTATACAATGGTAGAAAGCATTTTCACAGAAAACAGTAAATATATGAAAATATATAGTAATAATAATAAATATTAATACTAGTAACAATAACAACAATAACATTAGACGACGACGGCGATGGTGATGATGATGATGATGATGATCGCAATGATGATAATTCATTTTATTTTACTACAATATAAGGCGATGTAAAAAAAAAGGTTTGTAGTACGCCGACGAAATATAGGCCGAAACTGAGCAGAACTATCGACAATTTTACCCTATGTCAAAAAAATCGTTTAAGAATATCAATATTTTTGGTTGTTTAGCAAATTCTGGGTTATATTTTCAGTGGACTTTGGAAGTCTCTACGCAACAACATTCATAAACATCTAGTGGGCAATATGATTGTTTTTTACCTGATGTTTCTTGTCGGCTCTGAAAATGTAAAAAATAAGGTAAGTGTTTTAACAAGCTGTCTACAACGTTTGATTGTACAATTCTCCAATAATATTAAAACAATTCAAGCAAACTTGGATGAATAATTCAAATAGAGAAAACTTTTGGTTGTGATTTATTTTATATTGTAGGCTTAATATTGCAGTTAGGGGGAATGACTTTGTTGCCTCCGTCCGTTGCTTAAATCAGAGGATTAGAGGACAAGTTTTACTATAGTATGAATACTAATTAATTATTTTAAAAAAAATGAGCAATATACACAACGGTGTGAGTTATATAATAATATAGTATTTGTATTATATGATTACTTTCTGTTCAGGGACTTTGTAAAGTGACGGCAATATTACTACATTATGAGATGCAAACCGTATTCATGTGGATGTCTGCTGAAGCAATTTACTTAGTATTCAAAGTGGTTCGCAGAACGCCAAGCAAATTCAACAAGATTCGTTACTACATGATAGCGTGTTACACAAGTTCTTTCTTAATGGTGTGTTTAAGTATTTCGATCAGATATGACTGCTATGGAACAAAGGATGTGTAAGTACTGACCCGGCCCGTTCGAATTAGCTTTAAAAAGCGTCTCATCTTCCATTTCTTGTCTTAACACTCGGTAGTAAGGTATACAGTGAAGCTAAGCGTACGACACACTTTTTTCAGTTTGAATCAGATCCTTGTTGGCTCACATATTATTATCATCCAATTATTTATATAAAAAAAAATAGTATCTTTTAGGAAATCCCGTCTTATGTTTATCAAGATGATGGCCGTTCGACTACGCATTTTCACAGAAGTGTGAAAGATTAGTTGCTTCTAATCGGATTCAATTTCCCGACGAAGCCCCAGTGGCCCAGTTGGTTAAGGCGTCTACATAGACAGCAGAAGATCCGGAGTTCGAATCTCGTTTGGGATAAGCTTATTCAAATTACTCTTCAGAAACGTTTTTAGAATTGATCACTTACTGCATCTTATTAGGCCTATTTATTCTTTAAAAAAAAAAGCATTTACTGCTAGCCAGGCATCAAGTATTGTTCTCGTGTTTATCCAACTTTCCATTAAAATATTACTAACATCACCACTTACTATTCAATATACACAAATCAAACATAAACATCATCTTATGATGTGCATTGGATAAATAGTATTGTTTTGTTTAAAAAAAAAAGTCATATAACAACATTTATTATAGAAAAATTGTATTAACATAACTATTTATTTTATAATGGTCTTTAATTGGAGGAAAAATTGTCAGTTGGGTCCGCCAAAACCATGGCATTTGGTCTCTAAGTAGAGGCAAAGATCTTATAAACACAAGATAGCGTTCTCCGCAATTTACCCGTGCAAATTCTGTAATAAGGCATGAATGGCGCCCTCTTGCTAAATTGGAAACTTTTGACCCTTGACCGCTCGACTTTACCATTAGGCTATCAATCCTGTGAACAGCAGAACAGGAACCATCTCAGATCCATGGCAACAGATAGGACGCCCTCTTCCAATGCTGATTACTTTTTCTCTTTGGTATAATAGAGCATGAATGGCGCCCTCTTGCTAAATTGGAAACTTTTGAACCTTGACCGACGCTTCTATTGGGTCCGCCAAAACCATGGCATTTGGTCTCTAAGTAGAGGGAGTCTGTAATTGGAGGGAACAGCTAATGCTAAAAGATAGGTGTTCAACCGGCGCCGCAAGAAATTGGTCTTTAATTAGAGGTGGTCTTAAATTGGAGGAAGACCCGTATATAGACCATACATATGCTTGTTTTTTGTATTATTTTGTGTGGTGTTTGTCATGATGACCAATGTTGATATTTGAATAAATCACTATAAAACAACAACATAGGCCCTATGCTATAGGTAATATATTTTTTTTTAATAAAAAAAAAATCACATACTGTAATTATAACAATGACTATTTGGGGAATGTATTGATAGTCATACTTCTTTCGTTTCTCATAGATGTTGGCTGGCACAAAGTTGTCGATGGACCGTTATTTTTCCGGCAATACTGATAGTAGCTGTGAGTATTTTTGAAATCTATATCAATTGATATATTTTATAGGCTAAATTAAAGATAAACGATTTGTCGTTTTTCTTTTCAAAACAGTTCAACACAGGAGTTCTATTGAAGATGGTTCACATAATCTACTCACGGACAGGATCGATGACAAATAAAACGGCCAAATCTAGGAATGTCAACGAAAACAAGAAACAACTAAGGCAAGTATTTATACCCGATGGCCTATTATTCTTTGAGCGTCACTTTTTATATAATTCCTAATTGGTGCTCTGTAGTAAGGTAAATGCCATTGACTGACAAAATATTTGTTTAATGTGTGTGTTTAATTACACCTTTCCTGTATTTTTTGCAGACGCTTAAATTGGCGTGCAATCAATTTAAGGATATTTGTAGTTAAATGTCTGTAAATCACATAAAAGTAGCTTCTTTTGGTAGGTTTCTAGTTGGAAGTATAACTTATTTCATCCTTTTAGATGAAAATTGTTATTGAATTTTGAGCTTTTCTCAAATATTTTAACAGTCAGGTTATTTTTAAACCTTATTCCTTTACTTCTATGAAATGACAAGACTATAATGTCTTTTAAGTAAATAACTTTTGTAAACTTTAATTGCTTTGTTTATATTTATTGTATTAATTGTTTTGGACGCACTTCTTGAGAAGTGTGGCACTGATGAAAAGGTGTAGTTCCTAATACATTGTTTGCTATATTTTAATTTTTCATCGATTTTGTTATTTTATTCATTGCATAAGGTCTGCTGTGAAAGGTAGCCTGCTGCTTCTACCTATATTGGGAATCACCTGGATATTCGGTCCTTTTGCTGGTGATAGCCTTGTCTTGAACTACATTTTTACTATTTCGAACTCACTACAAGGCGTATTTATCTTTATTGCATATTGTCTTTGCGATAAGGAGGTATGCTACTCTTGTACTAAACACTACCATATCATTATTTTTCTTATTATACCTTAAGTTGAATAGATTCATCTCCTTCCAAAGAACATTTTGTTGATTTTTCTATATTATGAAGAATATATTAAAAACGTCAAGACACACCCAATTACGTTTCGTGTGTTGACAACAAATCTTTTCAAGGTAGAGTCGGCAAAAACATCAGCTAACATTACCTTGAAAAAGCGTGTTGTGGGCACACGAATCGTTGGGAAAAGTCTCGAGTTTTTTTTTTTTAATGTATCCTCACAATAAAGAAAAATCAACAAACGTCATTATGCCTTGTTATTAACATAGGCTTACTACCTACGGTATAATATACAATATAATGTGTTGTAAACTGAAGTGAAACCTTCGTAAATAGTTAATAATATTTAATAAAAAGGTATATAATTATGTTTAGGCCTATTATGATCTGAAGTGAATTGCTTTGCTATTCGCACAGGTAAGAGAAGCATTCAACAAGTTTCTGAATCGGAGATCTAATACAAATCGTGTGAATGCCTCGTTTGAAACTGAGGTAAGATTATGATTTAACGGAACTTTCCAGACTAGAATGTGTTTTTGATAGCCAGGAATACGCACATTTTATGTTTCCATAACTTTTTGTTTGATTTTGGTGTTCATTTCTCTTCTTTTTTTTTTCATTTGTAGCACCTCATTTGTAGCATAACAATGGATATTTTTTGTTTTAATTCCCTTACTTTTAGACATACAGTATGTCCAAAACGACTGGAATTACAAGCGCTTTCGGATGAAGTGCCTCTACTTCGTGATATGACTATTTAGAAGAGACTGACGTACAAGAAAAAAACTTTTTAGTGATCGATGGCCTGAGAATATCACGTGACAACAGGAGAAACAGTATGATATGGATGGACAGAACATTTTTAGTGTTAGAAGAATGTACTATTGCGGCGGTGATAGTGAAGCAAACCGGTTGTTCATGAGATAATGTAGGCCTACGTAGGCTAGATCATTTTAAAAGTTGATAATCTATGCAATTCTTATAAATGACCATTTTATTTGATATGTTATATCTGTATATTTTATTTTATTTTCTTTTTCTATTTTTGGGGCAGCGGCATATCTTTAAATAGAATAAACACAGATTATACATGATATTTATTCTACGGTGGCCTTTTTCGCGAGTATATAATAATATAATATATTAATAATAATAATAATAATAATAATAATAATAATATATAATTTATTTCCATCATTTTTAACGAGAGTGACCCTTCCAGCCCAAAGGCAAGCCAGTGAGCTGATTAGAATTAATATATGCAAATACTTGTTTTATATCCATGCACTCTGTCCATCTACTTTATCTAATGAACAGGTTGTGTGGGCGGGCGAATGGATGGACAGATGGATGAATGAATGTACGAGCTGGCAAATATAAATAACTTAATGTAATTTATTTCTGACCTTTTTTTCAACAACGTTGGAATCATCGCAGTAATTTTATTTTTTCACCCTTAGGTATTTCACTCTGGACGCTTAATAGCCAACATTTCAGCACATTTGACAACGATAACGATGCTTTAGAGACCCTGTCTCTTATACACATCTAGATGTGTATAAGAGACAGTATTGCATAATTACATACTGTTTATAAAAAGCAAAAACATTGTTAATATTAATAATTAAAAAAAAAAATCATCCAAAATGATAATAGTATATCAATAATAATAAAGAACTAAATATAAAAATATACAAGAGAATGCACGTAAATAAAACCAAGGTCAAATTCTGAAAAATTGATTCCAGAATATAATTTATGCAGTACAATAGCTTGTTGCTTCCCGATGCGCTTTAAATCGTTTACTCTCATGTAAATTCTCGTACAGCTAAAAGGTGAATATTACATCATCGCCCACTGGATGAATATAGTCGGTGATAGTATCTCAGTGTTTGTGTTGATAGCTACGCTGACAACCTATCTTCTTCTGCCGTAAGTTAGCATCTTCCTTTACAAACCGTATTGATGAATAATTCAACACAAATACAAATGTTTTCTTTGTCCACTCAAATCCTCTGTCCATGGTTGGAAAAAGTCATTTCCGAGAGATCTACGGCTGATCCAGAAATTCGAAATGGGGGGGGGGGGCAGGGAGGGACTTTCACAGATGTAGGGTAGGATACCACCTCACCTCCACCATGGTTGAGACGGAGGTAGGAAAATTTTATGCTCATAGTACCTCTAGGTTGCCGGAAATGACACTCTCACACATACACTTTAGAATAAAATTTTCCCCATTTTTTTATAATTTGGAAAAAAATTAGGACCTCCATTTGAATCAACTGATCTGCAGTGGTTGTTACTTTGTTAACAAATTTAATTTTATATATTACTGCACACAGTGATGAAAGTTCAACTGTAATTGCGCGACAACATAGTGTCTACTGCACCCTGGGGGCATTAGACACAAAAACTGATAATAAAATATTTAAAACATGCAAATATTATGAATTTGCGGCAGATTGGTTATTCCCGGGAGATTCGTGCTTGTTTGCGGGAGTGTGGAAGGCCGTCCCGATTTCCTGGAGACTCCCACGAGTTCCAGGAGACTAGAGAACCATGTTCTGTTGTTCTATCATTGACTTCAATATAAACCCATGGTATTACCTTCATCATAATGTTATTACAGTTAGCAGACGCCTTAACAACTGGGTCACAGGAGTTTTCTACGTATTTTTTCATATTCGCAAAACTGATTTAGGCCTATTTGTTTAAAAAATATAATTGTTAAACTATCATTTCAAATTATGCCAATGTGATTTATTTGACTTCGTACTTTAGTGAATTATGGAAGTCATTGCGTAATAACATCCATAAGAATTTGGTTGGGAACATGATCGGTTTCTACTTGCTCTCACTTATCAGCAACACTACTGTGGTACCCTCATTGGTAAGTAGCAATGACTTTACTTGGTTTATGGATTCTACCCTATAACAACATTATCGGCAATGCATTCCATTCATTTACCGAACGAATAGTGATACTTCCGAATATAATAGAGCGCTGCTTACTAATTTTTTAGCGATTGACTACGTGTTCTCGAAGCAGTGTCTGAGTTGAAAAATACATTCAGCAGGCATATAAATGAATTACAGCCTCTAATAATTTTGAAAATGTTGAATATCTGAATGAGACATGGCAGTCTTTCATAGGAGAATGTAGTTGAAGCTATACGACAGGCTAAAAACTTAAACGAACAGTACGTCGTTTTGGTACCATGACACCTTGAAAATATGCAAAGACGATCCGAAATGGTGACTCTTTTTTCGAGGTGGTGCCTCTTTAATTGAGATTCTGCTGAATCTTAAAGTTCTGTCTTCAACTGGAACGATATCTCTTGAATCGAAACGGCACTAGGCCTAATCTAAGGTTTCTTTTAAATTGAGATTCTTGAATGTTGATTCACTGGTTCAGATGATTTCCCTACAAATATTATGTAAAACAGATAGACCTAAAGATGGTGGTACATTGAGTTGAGATGACGTCGCTGAATTAGAAATTAACTTCTTATGATTCGAGATAATATTTAGTTTGCACGGATGATAATTAGTTTAAATCTTCATTTCAGGGGCTTTGTAAGGTTTGGAGGCTAGTCTTACAATTTGAAACACATGCTATGTTCTCCTGGATGGCGGCTGAAACGGTTTTTCTATTATTTAAAATTGTACGGAGGACGCATAGCAAATACAACAAGATATCCTCTTATATGTTCTCATGCTACACAGGGTCTTTCATAATCTTGCTAGCAACGATACTATCTGATTGCCATAGCCAAAAGGAACGCAACAAAAAGTTAGTTAACATTTATTGATTACGCCACCGTTTAGATCAGAGGGTCCCATGTTCGGTTTAGTACCGGTAGTTACTAAAACGTTAGTTCAGTACTAGTTTATTAAAACCGACGTACAAACGTACGATAATAGTATCACAAATTTTGCCTATTTTATTTTTAAAATATGCAATGAATAATTATAGTAAAAAGCACTTTCATCTGCGTACTATAGGCCTATTATATATAAATATTAATTGTTGTAAGGAAATAATGCTAATTGTAGTACCGTTAAAAATTTTTTTTTTTTTTTTTTTTTGCAGCAATTGTGTGGTTTCTGAAAAATGCTTTTGGCATTTCTGTGGACCAGTGGTCCTTGTCGTTATTGTAAGTTATTTGTTGAGACGTATTTAAGGAATCTATGATTTATCCGAATGAAAAGAAACACAATGAGAGAAAGAGATACACAGAAACGTCTGCAACTTAGTCTAAATACAATGTGAACATTAAACAGGCCTACAGGAAAATGAAGTAGGATAACTTAGCTGTATAAGTACTTTTTCAAAAGTATAAGTAATAATTACTTTTTTCAAAATTTTACTATTTATAATTATGTATTTTTCTATAATTCTTAATTTCCTTATTTTCTAATTTACAGTTCAACGCAGCTGTTGTGGCGAAAATGGTTCATGTTATATATATACGCACCAATAATTCAATATCCAATTCATTAAGACGACAGACAGAACACAAAAAAGCAAAGTTAGGGCATTCACTATATTACGAATATTCTGATATACAAACGAATTGCTATTTTAATTGATATAGGCCTACTTTTTAAATAAAAAAAAAATAATTATCCAGGGTCCCCAAGTTTCCAGGAGCAGCAAGTCCTCTGGAATCGAGTAAGTAAATATCCCGGAAACTAAACTCATCTCCAGCAAATACATATATCACATTTCAAGCTCTGTTATTTTATTTATTCTTTTGTTAAATTTCCATTACTTTGCAGCAATCTTTTTATTGTGTATGTTTTGTGCGTGATTTTGTGTATGTGTATATATGTGTGTACATGTATGTGTGTGTATGTGCATATGTGTGTGTATATATATCTGTCCCTTATACACATCTCTTGTTTGCGGGAGTGTGG